AAAACCAATCAATTAACTTATATGATCTCGGTTCCGATATTAAATAATCAATAATTGTTTATACCCGCATTTTGGCACATTGGCTCGTTGAATGTGCCATCTAATAAATAGTGTCGTCATTCTCCTTAGCTGCTTTTAAATGATGTCGTCACAAATTGGTGGCGGAGACATGAATACAGTGTAAGAAAATTCTTTTTCTATAATTGTTTCCTTATAGAAAAGTTGGTTTATTTTCCACCTTAGACATTCCGAATTCGTTTTGGACATGTACTGTTTCTTCAATTTAATAATGTTCGCTTTATTTTTGTGGAAACGAAACATGTTTTGCAAGTTATGGATCATTTCTACACTCTTTCTTCAAATATTTCTCGTATTCCAGCTATGCGCAGGCGTTTAGTTTTTCGCATCGTGTTTTTACATATTCGTAATTTAAATTTTTTTATAAAATCAAATTGTGGTAGTTCATGATTGTGTGTGGATTAATATCACAACACTGAGGATTTGGCAATAACCTTTTTCATCTATTAAAAAACAACACTTACGGGGCAATGTTTATTGTAAGAACAACATTTTTTTCTATGAATCGATATACTTTAAGCATTGTTGACGCTATTTCCATTTGAATGAGTTTATTTCCAAATTTTTGTTGACTTTATTTCGCTTTTGAAAAGGTAATAATGTCAATTGACTTTATTTCGCACCAGGGCGGGAAATAAAGTCAATTGACCTTATTTCCATTGACCTTATTACCTGTCACCATAATTTCGAGAAAGTAGAGAATTTCGTTTACTTGGGAACCAGCATTAACACCGATAATAATGTCAGCATGAAAATCTAACGCAGAATCGCTCTTGCCAACAAGTACTGCTTTGGACTGAGTAGGCAATTCAGGAGTAATGTCCTCTCTCGACGTACGAAAACCATACTATAAGTCACTCATCATGCCCGTGCTGGTATATGGCGAATTAAAATACAGCGGCTCAACTGGCTTGACCATGTCGTTCGAATGGACACCGACGCCCCACCTCTGAAAGTATTCTGGCTTCACTTGGCATTTCCAATTGGCGTCAGTTGGCCAAAATCGCTTTGGCAGTTACAGTGCCAAATAAGAAGAAGAGGAAGAGAATAGATCTATAACCTTATCAGTCACACAGTGTTATAATCCCGACGAAATCCTTGACGGTGGTACCGGGAGGGGAACGGTACATGACGGTAGGAAGTTTAGATTGGGTTAAAGTCTCACACTGACGGGGTTAGGCTTTCGATGCTTCCTCCTCGTAAAATAAACACGCTCAGTATAAAGTTAACAATTTAAATCGACGAATAGTTTTATATCAACTTTTGTGAACATCTGTTTATTTGTTTTTTGTACAACATATTTACCTCTATTGGTTACAATAATTTAAGCTATAATAAACAATTTTTTAGTAAGTAAGTTATTGGTTTTGATTTTTTTCGTATGGGTTAAAGTAGTTGTAGGAAGTCCCGTTTTCTCATAACGTAAGCCTAAAACAGTGTTGCCAGATTTTTTCCAAATAACTGTAAATTCCCATCAAAAACTGTAACATTCAGAAACGTAGAGATTTTTTTACTGTTAAGATTTTTTAACCCTTTTTATTCAAAAGAGGAAACGCTGCATCTCCATTACCTCTTTTTTCTCTAAAAAAAATTTACTTCCAAAAAACCAAAAGAGATATTGTAATTTATTCTTTCAAATCTGGAATTTTGACAAAACGGTAATTTGTACTAGAAGATTATTTGAGAAAACTGAAAGCTTGTCTAGAAAACTATGATTTACAGTTAAATCTGTGAATATGGCAACATTGGCTTTTCTTCCATGTAGTTGGTGTTGCGTTTCTCTCCCAGAGATAGAAAAATACAACAATCACATGGAAGAAAAAGCTCAGAACTAGAACGATGAATCCCTCTTATCTATGCTTCGGCAAGATCGCCTTATACATAGGTCTACAAATGAAACACAAGTCATCTTAGCGGCATTTGTTGAAACTACAGAGCGACCGTAAGGTGGAAGTTCTTTTAAAATTTTATGAAACGGATAATTGATGCGAAAGACGACCTTTAGAGAAAAAAGAAAAATGTCCTGAATAAAATTTGTGATCTGTAATGTAATGTCCTGGAAAAACTAAAACAGTCATCCTACAACAATACAATCTTACATATGTACATATATGTATGTTATTTAGGTCAAACGGAATAAATTTACAGGGTATTCGTATCGAATTTCTCAGAACACATTGTTCTTATTATGCCTGGGATACCAATTTCCACATACGCAACTTGTATTTAGAATTACCGTAGCTACCATCGAATATATACTTCGTAATCTTTGTTGTTTTTTAAATAGTTATCAACGGCGATTTTGTATTACCTGGTAAAGTATAGCGGCATCCAGTGCCATTAGCTCTTTACGTGACAGCTCTTCAACGACGGCAGCTGCGTAGCAATCGCCGAGCATATTGTTGGTGGTACGCATACGATCACTGTAAAAAGAGCAGAATTCAGTAAAACTTGCTAGGAACTCAGAGGTTTTGCTACTACATATCTACATATAAAAAATAAATAAATATTTGGCGCTTACACATTTGGTTGTGATTGGCCGACCTTCTTTTCCGAACCGCAAATGATTTTATTGAGAAGCTTTTTCATGACAGAAAAACCTGGAGGATTCCCATTGCCTGCCAAGGGGCGACCGCTATTAGAAACAGGTCGAGGTTGATAGGACCAGGAATCAAACCCTGGACCTACCGAGTTATAGTGCGCACCTCGACAGCTACCACTATTACATATGTATGTTGTGAGGACCAAATATCCCAGAAGAATTCGGCCCACACAAATATCCGCCATGAAAGCAACCAGCGATGCAATAAACCACAGCAACACAAGTCAAAGCAGCCAGCCCCACAACAAAGCGCGGCAACACAAGTCATAGAAACACCCTACAGCTTCTTCGTTGCTATGACAACACAACATCACACAGCAACATGTAGCTGCTCGACCTCGCAACATCAAGCACACGGGGGGGTGAAATAACACAAACGGCAATAATGCAAATTTGTGTTATTTCCCAATTGAATGTGAAATAACACAAATTTGCTTTATTTCATTTCTCGTTGAGCAAAAAAACCAACTTTTATACTTAACAATTTGAGTAATAAAGCAAACTAGTGCACATATGTACGTAGTCACCCAGTTACATTTGACAAAAAGTAGTACATGAACAAGTTAAATGGACGGATTTGTAAGTATACAATTTTGAAAGTGCCCGGCGTCGCGGCGGTCTGCATTCGCGCGCCACCCCGCGCCGCGTTCGACGTCGCGCTCGCGTCCCCCGCCCCTCCCCTCCTTTCGCAATTATGTACTGGTGCCATTATAACCGTTTAGAAAAAGGGAAAAATTATAAAATAACACTAGTTCACCTCTGAAACTGCTTTTTAATAATGTCCAAGTAATGGGAATTATTGTGTATGGTGTTATTGCATGCATCCCACCCATAATGGAATTTACCAGGTGCCACTGCTTTATTTGAAAATTTGCCTATAAAATGTGACTATAAGGCAGCCGAATTACAGAAAATAAAGCGAGAAAGCCGTTTATGTTTATTGCGACATGGTTCCATGCAAACATTTTAAGGTTTTCCAGCAATGTTTTTAACATATTAAAAAGCATGCAGAAAAAATTCATACAAAAGCGCTATGTCCAATATGCGGAGCAGTTTTTAAAGACGATGCTTTTCCTATATTTTGTTAGACTTTTCATAAGTAAAAATATTTTGTGAATATTACTTTCTTCATATGAATTATATCACATTTTTTGTTTAATTCAAGGCCTATCAAACAGGTTTAGAGCATTTGAGCAAAAACAACATTTGCCTGTATTTTGTTGTTGCTTCTGGTATCGAAGGTGCCAAAAACTGTTCTGATTTTTTTCTTCTACATCAAAGCGTGCCATGCGAAATACGAAAAAGGTAAAAAAGTTAAATTGAAAAAATGAAAATTGTTCCAACTTTCTTTCTTAGTAAATTGGTTCGCTTCTCGAAGCATTGATCCATCCTGTTCCAGGCCCAGTAATCAGCGGTTGTGCTGTTGAGTTGGGCTGCTATTTAATCGCTGGTTTTGTATGGAAAATGTTTCAGATGCAAATAGATTTTAACAATTTAGAATTTTTGTGAGAAGAAATGTAAAATATTTGACATTTTCGAGAACAAATAATTTGAAAAAAATCAAATCAGCCACCGGCGCGGCCAGAGGGTTAATCACCGGCGTGACCCGAGCATTACTCAACGACGTTAACTGATCGCTTCTCATCGGCGAGACCAAGAGCGCGACATACCGGCATCACCGAAGCGCTACTCACCGACGTTGTTAGAGCGCCACTCACCAGAGCGCGACTAACCGACATTGCCGAGAGCGCTACATACCGACACGACCGGAGCACCATTTACCGACGTAAGCAGCGTGCCATTTATCGGCGTCAGCAGAGCGCTGCCCACCAGTACTAAAGTCACGCCACTACGGCATAACGGGCCAGTAACGGAACACGTGGCCGTTACCCAGCTACCAGAAGCGACATTACTGGAATTTTCCACCGTGATCTTTTTGTTATATGTTTATAGAAAATAAGAAAGTTAGCCAATAAAGTACAAATGTACTGTAAAGAACCCTGGACACGGCGAGTATGCCCCAGCATTGTAGAAGGAGCATCGGGGCAACAAAAATGCTTCGTAACAATTGGCGCCCGAGCAGGGACCCTTGGCAAATCGTACACGTGGAAAGGAAAATTTTTTGGAACAAACAAGGCGAATAAAATAGCGGAGCTAGTGAACACAGCGTCGCTGGATGATATACCCAAGGAGCAACTAGTGTCCATTGTCAGGAATTGGGGATCGAATGCGCGGGTACCGCCCGAGAAATACGCAAGCGTATAACGGCTCTGGCGCCCAATGCGCACATGACCCCGAGATCCACGCTAAATTCCAGGCAATGGAAATCACCAATAGAGCCAGCAAGACTGCCTCGGAAGACGAGAATGAGAAGAAGACACCAGTACCCCGGATAAAAGTGAGAGGAGTACGACTACTTTTATGCAAAACATGACAGTTGGCGGTACCGCTACACCAACACCAGCTGCCATCACACCAACACCAGCCACCAACGCACCAGCATCCGCCGTCGGGCCAAACGCAGTTACAGCCAACCCTGAAAACTAGGCCCCGACCCACACGTTTGCACCTATCATCGACCAAGTAAGAAATTGGTCAGTAAAATATGACGGCGGACGAGACCCGCTAGCTTTTGCGGAGCGGTTGGAGGAGTTGGCCGAGGTGTATGCCTTGAACGTAGACCTCCTGCCGTAAACTATGCCCGAGCAACTGTGCGGCACCGCTCTTCACTGGTACCGCAACAACAACGAGCACTGGAGAAACTGGACGACTTTCCGGCGCGACTTCTTACGTTTCTTTCTGCCAGCCCGGTATTTCGAACACCTCGAGGACGACATACGGCAGAGAAGGCAGCATCCACGGGAGAAGTATAAGGATTATGTGATCGCGATACAAAACCTGATGTCAGGCGATGCCGAAACGCGCGGAAACGCCACTAACGATGCGTCAGGAACGCTGTTGGCTGTACGCCCTAGTCCACTTGGGTGGAGAGCCAGTGAAGGCCGTCATCGATACCGGCGCCTCGAAGAGTTTCATATCAACCAGCTTAGCGGAATACATGTCGGCGCAAGGGAGCTGAGAAAGGATAACGGTAGCTCTTGAGATACATATGGCCGACGGCACCAGCAGCAAGATTTTCGAGGCCATGAGGGCCGAGGTTCGCCTCGGACAATCGGCGCACCACATAGTGTTGTATATCATGCGCAATAGACGATCTCATATTCGGCCTAGACACGTTGGGGAGCATGGGAGCTACAGTATCCTGCGGGGGACAACACATCGTACTGACCGAACCGACTTCACAGCAGGCGCCGACACCGCGCACCACCTCACGAACCACGGAAGATAGCGTCCCACCAGGAATAAGAAGTAACACCCCGGTTAGGATGGCCAAGAGAAAACACCGAAGGAGGGGTAGGCCCAGGAGCGAGAGGATTAACAGGGTCCACCATGAAAACCCCAGTGCAAGCGTCGGCGAGACACCTCCGCGGAGATGTCCCAAGGTAACCACAAAGGCGAAACGATAACAAGGGAACCACAATGCAAGTGGTGCAGACTATATGATGCAGGACGAACAACTCTACCGCTATATCCCGTGCCGAACCCAGGACGAGGAAGCAGCGCCCTGGAAGTTGTGTGTGCGCCAACCCCTCTTCGCCAGAGAGTACTGCAGGAGAACCGTAATGTGCCTAGCGTCGGACACATGGCCATCAGCCGGACAGTGATATCGGTCGCTATGTACGCCAATGCGAATCCTGCCAAAATACAAAAAAATGGACCGCAGCGACAGATGGTGGAGCAGCGTGAAGACAGTACGCGAACGCATGGTGTAGGAGAAGGCAAAACGCCCCCGTGCCCAAGTTTTAGGGCCGGTATACACCGCTGGCGTACGAAACGTCGCGGCTGCACGCGCCGACGTAGCAATGACAAAACTCATCGGCATATCAATTGATTTAACTACTTCTCCTTAAACTTTGACGCTGAATGCTCGACGTTGTCTTAACAATAACATATACAATTTTTTAATTTTGGCTGTTTGTGTTTCCGACAAGGTAGGAATATGTATTGTGTAACGATTTTCTGTCATTCTTTGTCAAATTTGGTGTGAAGACGGCACAACGCCAAAACTGGTTTGTCTCCAAATCAAATTTGAAAAAGGATGACGGAAAATCGTTCCACAATACATAAAATATCTATAATCTATATATTATTCTAAGACAAGGCGCTTATTCCCAAGGATCTACTAATCATACCGTAAATTGAAGTGCTCGATCGGAAACTTTGCACAAGCATTTCAGATTTAAAATTTAATAAAAAAAAGGTAAAACAATTAAAAAGATTGGCTAAAAAAGAATCCAAAAACTTATGCCCCCAAACCAACCAAACATTGAAAGTAGTTCATCGAGTAAATTTAGACAAGTATTTTTATAAAACATGTCTGAAAGAATTCATTACAAAAACAGACGTTGACGGCCCGCAAAATTTTTAAGGTCGGCTGTCCTAAAAGTTTTTTCTGACGAATTGGTAGTTGAAAGATTACTCCTTACTGAGTCTTATTCGATCACTTTTGATGATAAAAACCGATTAATCGTTTCCGCGATTAAAAAATGACTCGAAAACTACTCACGCCTGCGCTTCAAAATCATACAATAATTTTTAGAAGGTAGTTTCACTTCTTCTTATCCGCCATGTTAGCTATCTGACAGAAACCGTGTTTCGTATTTTTTGTGGTACCAATTTAAAAAAAAATTCAAGTTTTGACACTGGAAAAATAAAACAAAGCAAAGCCAAAATTATCAGACGAGAAATTTTCAAAAATTA